TACACAGATGTATGTGTATGTGTGTATGTACATATGTGTTCATATATGGATATATGTTCACACACACACACATCAGGCCACATATAAATTATATAAGGATTGTGGTTTAAAAAAATAGAGAAACTGCCTGCCCTTAAAATATATTTGAAGCAAGTGAGCAATTTGATCAGATTTGTGTTCCCAAGCTGAAAGGAATCTTATGGATCACTTCGGCCAGTTAGTCCTTCTTCTTATGGATGGGAAACTGAGGTCCATACAGGTTAGGTAACTGACTCAGGGTCCTAAGCAGCAAGAGCTGGTCCTTGACCCCTGACCTCTGATTCAGGACTGGGCCCTTTCTGCGTCGCCAGGTGACAAAGATTTATCTTGCTCTCTCTTTCAATCCTCAAACGCTGTTCTGTGTCATATTGTTCCCCTAGATTTCTAATTAATTCGATTCAATTCAGCAAATATTTATTGTAAACCTAGTGCATACTAAGTTGCAAAGACATAGGAAGGACCTTCATAAAAAGTTCCTTAACTGGTATCATAAATAGATACATAAATAGATCTGCGTTTAGGCACGGATCAGTATCTGTACATACATTTCCTAACTCTGGGCCCTGAGATGGCATAGAAGCAGTGACACCCCAGGAGCAACTGAGCACATCTAGAACCCAGATTTGGTTTTTAAATACCATTCTTCCATAAAAGGAACCAAGGTTCCTTAGAGAAGTGGTTGATTCTGGGCTGGGGAGGCAAAACACAAGACGAGCATAGGGCATCTTGTTGTGACAGGAAGTAGGAGAGTGCTCAGAGAAAGTTGGGAGCTCTTCGAAAGGACACAGGAACCAACCTGAAAGCGCTTCCAATGGCCAAAGCTGGAATAGTTTGTGCAAGACAATAAGTAACCATAGTTTTGGATTTTCTAACCCATAGAATAAAATAAATAACCATGACTCCATACTGATATAAATAACTCATTGCATAAAAAAAGACTTCTTTAGGGCTTCCCTGGTGGTGCAGTGGTTAAGTATCCTCCTGCCAATGTAGGGGACGTGGGTTTGATCCCTGGTCTGGGAAGATCCCACATGCTGCGAAGCAACTAAGCCCATGCGCCACAACTACTGAGCCTGTGCTCTAGAGCCCGCAAACCACAACCACTGAGCCCCCAAGCCACAACTACTAAAGCCCACATGCCTAGAGCCCGTGCTCTGCAACAAGAGAAGCCACTGCAATGAGAAGACCGTGCACTACAACAAAGAGTAGCCCCCGCTCACTGCAACTAGAGAAAAGCCCACACACAGCAACGAAGATCCAATGCAGCCAAAAATAAATAAATAAAATTAATTAATTAATTTTTTTTAAAAAAGCCTTCCTTAACTGAGTATCTAGATGACTAGAAATTTGAAGATGTCAAAACTGAGTGGCAGTTGAGTAGGCTTGAATAATTACATTTTGTGGTAACTGAAACTAAAACCCACTTGGAGTGGACAGACAGAAGGTTAAAGACTTAGTTCTCGTCTTGTCTCTGCCACTCAACATCTATAAAATGAGGATAAGACCATCTACCTTGCTGACCTCATGATTCTCCAAAGAAATAAAGTATATGAAAGAAAAGTTAAATGCAAAAATAAATAAATAAACAAATGAAAACAAAAACTCCTTAATCACCAAGGACTTCAACCATCCATATCATGATAAAATTAATCTTTATTATCTGTGGATTCTGTATTTGTCAATTTACCTTCTCGCTAAAACTTATTTGTGATCCACAAATCAATATTCACAGTGTTTTCATGGTAATTTTAGATGTATGCAAATTGTCAAAAAATTTGTCACCCACCATGCATGACTTGCCCAACACTGCCAGCTAAGGTGGGGTAAGGTGATACTGCCTTCATGTTTCAGCTATCATACTGTAAACAAGTGTCCTTTTGTGGTAAATTTAGTGCCATGCTTTTGGCATTTTTGTGCTTATTGTTGGTGACTCTGCTGTTTAAAACTGCCCCCATGTGCTAGATAAGCTTCCCTCAGGCATGAATTATAGGACTGTTGGCCATGAGTTTAATGTGAATGGATCAATAATATATATTAAATAACACGAAGCACACCTGAAATGTTTGTGCCCAAAGGCTCACAGGAACCTAACCCTGTATTTCCCCTAAGAGTAGTGATTCACTATTCACTAATTCAGTGTTTGCAGCAACTTTATAGAACACAGCTACTGTGAATGACAAAAACTGACAATATTTAGTAGCACCTTCTATGTACCTGGCCCACCCTATACTTTCTTTTTTTTTTTAATTAATTAATTTATTTTTTGGCTGTGTTGGTTTGTCGTTGCTGCGTGCGGGCTTTCTCTAGTTGCGGCGAGCGGGGCTACTCTTCATTGCAGTGCGCAGTCTTCTCATTGTCGTGGCTTCTCTTGTTGTGGAGCACGGGCTCTAGGCACGCGGGCTTCAGTAGTTGTGGCACATGGGCTCAGTATTGTGGCTCGCGGGCTCTAGAGTGCAGGCTCAGTAGTTGTGGCACACGGGCTTAGTTGCTCCGTGGCATGTGGGATCTTCCCGGACCAGGGATCGAACCCATGTCTCCTGCATTGGCAGGCGGATTCTTAGCCACTGCGCCACCAGGGAAGTCCCGCCACCCTATACTTTCTTTGACATAATCTCAAATATTCCTGACAGCATCCTAGAAAAAAGGTTTTTGTTTTAGGCTTCTGCCCGTCATCCAAGTGCTGAAGTTGGCTGGCTCTTCTGTTATTTTCTTACCCCTGACAGATGTCTAATTAGCTGGGTACTTTGTAGTCACATTTTTTTTTTCAAGTAGGCCAGTAATCTTTCTTGATTACTATATTCAGTCCTTGCCAATTTGAGAGAGAAAATATTTACTGAGGTGACAAACACTTGAATTTATTTTTTCAAAAATTTCCTGCAACTTCTTATTAAGAAAGACTTCAAACTGAAAGAAAGGTTGAAAAAAATAGTAAAACGAATACCCATAAACCTTTTGAAGACTTGTTAAATGGGAAAGTGATCAGTTTCATGTAGAGTTAGAGAGTGGAACTAGGACCAAGGAAGGAAAGGTAGCATAAGACAAACTTCAGCTTGAAACAAGGAAGAATTTTCTCTCTTGCAGGGAGGATGGACTCAGCTAAGGTAGAATGAATGCCTACAGACAGGGATATGGTGGAGCTGATCGCTGTACTGGGTAGGAGGGAGGTCTAGACAACAGGTCAAGCTGTCTATGAGTCCACAATCCACTGCTTTTTCTGAGTTCTAGGATTGCCACAGTATTGTTTTCATAGTGGTTGTATAGTATTTCGGCCACCTCATGTGTTAACTCAGCATTTGAGGGCAGATCTGAGAGACCAACCTCCATTTGTAATGTGGTTTCTCTGAAAAGATGTGTTGAATTTCAAACAAGTGATAAACTTTTGAAACATGACCCTATGGAAGCTGGAGAATTGTTGTTCTTCTTTTGACTTGTCCTTAAACTCCTTGAAGCATCCCAGCTGCCCTTCTAACGCTACTGTTCTGGGATTTGGGGACTCTTGTGTTTGCCTTATTAAATTATAATTTCCTAAACTTCAGATTCCAACATGGATTTGACCAGACAGGAAGGAAGAAGACCTGAGATCTGGCCCTGCTGAGTCAGATTCTCCTGGCTCAGCTCCATGATTTTGTCTGAAGTATATGCCTAGGGTGGCAGATAATCTTGCCCCACTAAGAACCTGCCATGACATCTTCAGCCAACATTCTCTTCTCTTCATTCTCTCCTTATGTGGCTATTTGTATCTGTACAACGTAGACAACATATTTTTGGTGTGTATTTTATTGTGTAACCACAATATATTTTGACATTTTATTATGTATCTTCTTGTCTGTTCTCCAGTTGTTCTGTGTGCCTTACTCTCACCTTTTCATAAGATTGTAAACTTTGACCTTACATCTGCCCCTAATATATTCATCTTTTAGGGTCTCTGTAAAACCAAGGGCAGCAGCAGTGTGGTGTGTAAGGTGGGACCATAAATTTGGAGTCAGATAAACTTAGGATTCTACTCTGCCATTTACAGTCAGCCCTCCGTATCCACGGGTTTCACATCCGAGGATTCAACCAAATGCAGATAGAAAATATTCGGGAAGAAAATAAATTCCATAAAATTCCAAAAAGCAAAACTTGAATTTGCTGCACCGGTAACTATTTATATAGCATTTACATTGTATTTACAACTATTTACATAGCATTTGCATCATATTAAGTGTTAAAAGTAATCTAGAGATGATTTAAAGTATATGGGAGGATATGTGTAGGTTACATGCAAATACCATGCTGTTTTCTATAAGGGACTTGAGCCTCTGACTATACTAGCCATGTGACCTGGGTAAATTATTTAACTTCTAAGTCTTGGTTTTCCTATCTCTAAAAGAGAAATGATTACGCACTTGTAAAGTGTCTGTCACATGCTAGGCACCCAATAAATGGTCATGCTCAAAAATGACATGCTGTATGACACCATTTAAATGAAATTCTAGAACAGGCAAAACTAATCTATAGTGACAGAAACTAGATCAGTGGTTGCCTAGGGCTAGTGGGGGTGGGTTGGGTAATCAAGGAAAAAGGCCAAGGGAACTTTTGTGGGGGTGGAAATATTCTATGTTGATTGTGGTAGTGTTTATATGGGCATGTACGTTTGTCAAAACACATGGAACAGTACACTTAAAATAGGTGCGAGTTAGTGTATGTAAATGATCCCTCGATAAAGTTGGTTTCAAAAAGAATGTTCATTCCCTTCCTCTCTCCATCAATGAAAATGTGTTAGATTAAGGCATACATTCCAGGGCCAAATATACATTTTATCTTTTATTTTAGATTATTCATATTACCATATAATTTCCCCCATGAATCGGTATAAGTAAATGAGACTCGGCTTGATGTCAAATTTCACTTTTTAACTGATTTGTATTATAAAATTGGAGAGATGTGTCATGAGGGGCGTGAGAGGGCAGACACTGGTCTCCAAGATACAATGAAATATATTTAAAGACACCATACATTTACAAAAAATCACTCACTTAAGGGGAAAATATTTTTCTGGTGAAATAGTAAAAGCTTGCCATAAAATAAAATGATAGTGATGAGGGCTTGGATGAATGGAGTGGCCTGAGGGAGCTCTTTACTTTTGCTTACTCTGCATGTATCCCCTCCCCACAACCACACGACCCTTTTCCCATAATAGCTCCTCCTTCCATCCAAAGGGGAAGGGTGCATACCAGATGTCTCTTAAGGAATTTCCTTGGAATCTGCTCCCAAAACTCTTTTGCTTCTTTTTCACCGGGCAGAACTTTGTCATGTGTCCACAGCTAGCTGCAAGGGAATCTGAGGGAGTTAGTCTTTATTCTTAAGAAAGGCCATATGACTAGCTAAAAAATCAGAGGTTCTATGACCAAGGAAAGAAAAGAATAATAGATGTTGACATAAGCAACAATTCATCTTTGCCCAAAGCCATATCAGGTAACAGAATATTTCATATATAATGGCAGAAAATTACAAACTACCAAAATTAATAATGTACACCCATACTGTAGCCGTATCAAAATGATTATGTTTGTCCATAGTTCTTGAAATGGAAGCATTTCGATAGTACATTGTTAAGTGAGGGAAAAACAGGTTACCAAAAACATGAGCTCTGTTCTATAAAATTATATATAGATAATATGTGTGTACATATAAATATATACATATTTAAATATAAATATGGATGTATTTCTCTCTGGAGTGGTAGAATTACATCATATAGCTTTAATTCACTTCATACCATTATTTTTACTAAAAAGCTTGTATCATTTTTATAAGCAAAAAAAATTCTTTTCACTTACAAAATATGTGGGCATCTGTGTCTCCAAGGAACTTCATGAGCAGAGCTGAGAGGTGAGCAGTGGCAGGGTGGAATTCAGGGGTTGGGAAGGTCTCCATCATTTTCCTGCAGGCACTCAAGTGATATTCAGTTCCTGGGTTCCTGGGAGCCCCTGGGCAGTGGTATCTAGGAGGCTATTGATCCCCAGGCCTGAACTCAGGAGAGAGGTCTATGCAGGAGTTGTGGCAATCACCATGAAGAAGACGGTCCGTGAAGCCAGGGGAGGAAGCACAATACAGCGGCGACCATGCTGGGCGTTTTCCCTTGGCCTCCAGAGCTATTCCCCACCCTTCTCCAGCTTGCTCTGTGCCTGGAAAGGCTGACCTATGTGGACTGCCTCACACCAGACTCCCTGCCTTCTGGCTTTCAGCTGGGTTCAGTCCATGGGAGGCCCTGGTAGGAGATCAGAGGATGGGAAGAGAGAAGCACGGGTATTTCTGTCTCACTCCCTCCATGCAGGGTTAGCACAGGGTGACTGCTTCTCTCGAATGAAGGTTACAGCTCACATCAGGCAGGGTTCCTCCTCCAGCCCTCAGGCCTGAGCGAGGAAGTGCTCCCACTGCTGCTAGCCCCAGGGTACAGCACTGCCCCATGTGGTTTCCCAGCACCTGCCCCACACCTTTGTAAATAGTTCTTTTTCACACTCTTCCCTGCATTACCCAATCTGAGTGTGCCATCTGTTTCCTGCCAGGATCCTGGCCAACACAGAGGGCTTGGGGGTGAGGAAGGGAAAGAACACCCAAGTTTAAAGGGCAAGGAGAGGGAGAGGAAATGGGGCCTAATCGACAGAGGAGTGAAAGGCAAACCAGGAGTTATGAAACCAGTGGGCGGCCAACAGTTTTATGAAGATTGCAAGGTTAAATAAGGATGAGATCTCAAAGGTATATTGGGATTGGCCATCTGGAGGAGGAGCTGGGAAGAGGAAGAAAGAGAATTGGGTGGGTGGTTCTGGGAGGAGGGATCTGAGTTGAAGATCGAGAAGAAGGTAAGAGGTGAAGAGAGGTGAGAGAAGGGAGTGGGGCAGAGGAGAGAACCAGGGCAAAGGTAGGAAAAGAGGCAGCAGGCCATGGGGTGAAGAAATGTGACTCTTTAGTCCAGGTGGGGAAGCAGGTAGTACCTCCAAGAATGAGTGTGGGGACTTCCCTGGTGGCGCAGTGGATAAGAATCCGCCTGCCAATGCAGGGGACACGGGTTCGAGCCCTGGTCCGGCAAGATCCCACATGCCGTGGAGCAACTAAGCCCGTGAGCCACAACTACTGAGCCTGAGCTCTAGAGCCCGTGAGCCACAACTACTGAAGCCCACGCGCCGCATCTACTGAAGCCTGCGTGCCTAGAGCCTGTGCTCCGCAACAAGAGAAGCCACAGCAGTGAGAAGCCCATGCACTGCAATGAAGAGTAGGCCCCACTCGCTGTAACTAGAGAAAGCCCGCGTGCAGCAGGGAAGACCCAGCACAGCCAAAAATAAAAAAATAAGAAAATAAAAAAATTTTAATTAAAATAAAGAATGAGTGTGTATGTACCGAGGCACAACACATACTTACACATATACAACACCCACACCTGCACGCGCTATACTCTACATTCACATGAACACACACACACGCAAATACGTATACACCACCATGCTTCACCACGCACACCAAAGATACACATAGTTGCACACATACACACACCTCACCATATCATCATCCCTGCACCATTCACAACAGTCACAGCTGTAACTGCCAGATCCATAGATCCCACTGGACCCCAGGCAACGTCGGATCTTTGCTTTGCTGTGACATTTGTCTATTTGCTGGCATCACGTTAAACCCCGAGAAAAGCCTGATTCTGCCCACTCACGCATGAAAAAGGAGTTCTCAGCGTTTACAGCGTGGTGCCCGGTGCACCGTAGATGCTGCGTGGATAAATCTGGAATGGCTCCACAGTCCCTGGCTCTTACCCTGGGGTATGGGGCAAGGGCTATGCCTGGCTGTATGTGCTGACCTCCTAAGTAACTTACTCAGGGGGACCCTAAAGACTAGCCTCCAACGACCACAACCCAAATGCCTGTCCATACGATGGAATATTCTAGAGTGAAAATGAAACACGTGCTAAAACATGCATGAATCTTTACAACATAATGTTGAGTAAAAAGAGCAAGTTGCAGATCACTACATACCTGCCTGATAATCTTTTTATAAAGTTCAAGAACCACGGAAACGAAACACTACATAATTTAGGAACACATGGCTATGAAATAAAAACTTTTTTTAAGAAGTGTAAAAGAATGCTAAGCACAACATTCAGGACAGCAGGTTATGTCTGCGAGAGGCAAGGAATGGACTAAGAAAGGATCATATAGGTAGATGGCTGTTATTGCTGATGTCTGCTTCTTGAATGGGATTCACCACCCAGTATAATATAACAGCAGGCCAGGCTCGAACCAAGGATGAGACTATATCATGAACCAAGGATTATGATTAACCCAGTTCTGTACATCAGATGTCTTGTTACAGTAAATAAAAATAAAGACTGTCCTCTCAGCTTGACCCTAGTTCTGCTTATTTTTGCACTTCCTCCCACAGCGATGCTGAGGGGTCACTGCAACCTTGCTCTTGGCAATCGGAGTTACTAGTGCAAGGCTGGGCAGGAAATGAACTGGGGATGAGGCCATATCTGCTTTAACACTGTTCTCGATGGGTCCTTTGTGGTAAGGGTTTCCAAGAACCAGCAGAGCAGTTGAAGGAGCTGAGTAACATTTACAAGAAATGTGTGCCTGCCCCACCCCCTAACCACCCCGCCCCATCCCCTCTCTCCTCCCTTTACCGCCTCCAACTCTTCCTCCCCACCGAGGCCCAAGTGAAGGGTAGCTCACAAGAGCCAGTAATGAATATTTCCATGGAACAGAACTGTTTACCTGACTCTCTGGAGTCTGGGGAAGAACTGCCCTGACGTCCACCCAGATTCTGGGCCCTGAAGGAAACTTGAGATGACTAATCTACACAAACATTTATTAAGTAGCAGTATAGCAGAGTGGTAGTCAGCATGGACCACCTGGGTCCAAATTCTAACCTGGCCACTTCTTAGGTATGTGACTTTTGACATAGTACTTACTGCTCTGCACCTCAGTTTTCCCCACCTGCAAAATGGGGATAAATAATAGTATCTCCCTCATGGAGAGTTGTTGTAAGACTAAGACATGCAAAGCATGCAGAACAGTGCTGGGCACATGGTAGGTACTGAATGAGTGTTAGCTATTATCGCCAAGTGTTATAAAAGATGCAGATGAATCAATGAGACCATGCTCTAGTGCAGGAATTTGCAAACTTTTTTCTGTAAAGGGCCAGATAGTAAATATTTTTGGCTTTGCTGGCCATAAGGTCTTTGTCACAACTACTCAACTCTGCCATTGCAGTACGAAAGCAGTCATAAACAATTCGTAAACAGATGCGCTTTATTTATTAATGCTGACAATTAAATTTCACACAATCTTTACCTCTTATGAAATATTATTCCTCACTCAGTCTGTTTTCAACCATTTAAAATGTTAGACCAAGTCTTAGCTTACAGGCCGTGCAAAACCAGGTAGTGTGCCAGACTCGGTCAGCAGATTGTGGTTTGCCCCTCCCTGGTCTAATGGGGGGAAAAACATTAGCCCCTCTGGATTTCTTTGCTTTACCTGTATGTTCTGTGCCTCACTTCACAGGTGAACAAACTGACGTTCCCTCTTCAAAGTCCAGTTGAAATGCTGCCTCCTCTTTGAAGCCTTCCCAGATCACCTCAGCCAAGGGCAGTAATAACTCCATCTGCTGCCTCCTTTGTGATAAGCACACATTTATTCATTACTTTTAAAATTTTATCATGAAATATTTAAGACAAACCAAAAGCTATAAAGTATAATGCAGACACTCCCCTGGCTGTCCAGTGGTTAAGACTCCACGCTTCCACTGCAGGGGGCACGAGTTCGATCCCTGGTGGGGGAACTAAGATCCCACATGCAGCGAGGCGTGGACCAAAATAAAAAAAAAAGTATAATGCAAAAACCTTAGTCCTCACCATCTGGTTTATGAAATAAAGCATTGCCCAAACAGTTGAAGGCCCCTATGCAGATACCCCTCCCTAAATCACAACCTCCCTTCCTCTTCCCCAGAGGAAACAGTCACCATCCTGACTCTGGGAATTTATTGCCGTGTATTTCTTAGTACTTTTACTGCATATAGAAGCATCCCTAAGCAGGAGGTAATATTTGTTTGCATGTATGTACAGCCATTATTTAACTGGATTTTCTTAATAATCCATTCAACGAATATCTCTATTTAGAGATTCGTCTCAGAGGGTGTTATAAGGCCCAAAGGATCCAGTTAAGTAATGGTGGTAAAATGCAAGGCTGATTCCCAAGTCATGCTCTTAACCATTGCTCCCCTCTATATTCCTGTGGCCACACAGTCATGTTTGTTATCTGACCCCCTTTCCACACTGGATTTTAAACTGCCCAATAGAAGAGACTGTGACCTTTCACCCCTCCTATACAACCCCTAATATCTGGCACCCAGTATCTTGGCACTTACTATCTTGCACTCTTCTTCAAAGAGACACCATCTTCTATCATCCCTAGCAGTCTCAATAGAGGATGGGGAAACTGCCAGAAACTCACTTCAAGGGAAAGAAGAGTGGGGCTTTGATAGATTTCAACACATTTAGAGCAACTTTTAAGCCAACTGTCAACTTTACTGTAAAGGATGAGGCATGCAATCCTCATACTCCAAGAGATTGGGAAGAGCAAGGAGGATAGAGAAAAGGGGAACTGAGAAAATCAGCCCCCCAGAACCGAGAAATTCTTCCTTCCTCTCCTACCGCCACATGGGAGCCGAGCTAGGGTTTGGGATCTAGTCCAAGCTTAAGGAGTGAGGAGTGACAATGAGTGAGCGGTATTGTGGCCTGGACCCTCAAACAACCTGACAAGACAGCATCTGGGCCAGTGTCCAAAGGGTGTGTGCAGGCACTGAGGGGAGGGAGCAAGATGATGAGGAAGGAAGAATGTTGTAGGCTGCTATTGATGCTTCTAAAGAAACCAGAAACGAATATTTACGAATACTTGACACGCACATTGACAGTGGTACTCACTCCACTGTTCTTTCAGGACGTAGTCAGGCCACGTGCACTAAGTGGATTCATGGGTTCTACCATCTAGTTTAAACTGAACTCTCACAAAATGAACAAGAGGCTTAAACAGATCCCTGCAAAGAAACCACGGACTAAAAATGCTAATTATCCCAGCACAAGCAGTAAGAAAATGGCCGGGCTAACATTTCACCTACTCCCAGTATAAGCTTTTTGTCGAGCACATTGGAGAGGAAAACTGCTGGAGAGGAAAACTGCGTAGGTCAAAACAACGAATGCATTTCCACACGTCTATTATCAATGACTAAACTCCACACTAAAGATGAAGGGAAATTTACACAGGTATATAGTTTCCCAGTAAACACTTATTAAGGGTACGTGCTCAAAATGTTTTACTAGTGGGAGAGACAATTGAAAAAATCCTCAACTGGTAGTTTAGCAAAATTTTGGTATCTTCTAGGTCAGCCTTGTCCAGTGGAACTTTCTGCAATGATGGAAATGCTCTATTGTTCCACAGCTACTAGTCACCAGTGGCCATTTCATGAAATCTGACTAGCACTGGGAAATAGCCACATATGCCATATTAGCCCAGCTCTACTAGAATTTGCATTGGGAATAGAGGTTGGGATTGCATTGGGCCCCTCCAGCCAAATCTTGTCCACACAAGATTGGTTCATCTACCCTTTGGCCATACATTCATTTCAGAAAGGTGACTATCCCAGAAGTCCTACTGAAGGGAACCAGATTCAGGCTGAAAATTCCTTTTCCTCCCAGGATAGATTTTGGCATTTACCAAGCGTTCAATTAACGCGCATTAGCATGCCTCTGCATGGACAACACATAAGCCACAAATTAAGACAAAAGGTATTTTATTCAAAAAACGCCAAGTATAAAAAAAAAAAATAAGATCTCTTTTATTCCCCTGTACAGTATTTCACTCAGATAAAACCAGCAGGCTACATGCTGCTCAAAACACAGCCCCAGAGAGGATCCGGAAGGCACACCATCCAGAACTGCTTTTCATAAATCTATGCTATATACACAAGTCAGCAATGCCCCTCCCCCATCACCCACAGACCCCATGCCCACTCGGGTAAGCAGGCGAGGGGGCCCGCAGCAGTCAGGGA